TTTAAAAAGACTGACTGTCCCTCAAGACTGAAGGTAAGGCAAGGGGGTCTGCTCCCGTTCCTCTTACTCACCGTAGTGCTGGAAGCCCTAGCTAGTGCAACAAAGAAGGAAAGAAAATGCAGACAGATTGTAATGGAAGAAATAAAACTGTCCCTATTTGAATATATAATCATCTATGTAGAAAATCCCCAGCAATCTTTAGAAAAAAAAAACTCCTATAATAACTAAGTTGAGTTCAGTGAGATCACAGAATATAAGATAAACATACACGAATCAATTATATTTCTATATACTAACAATGAACTTGTGGACACTGAAATTTAAAATATCACTTAAAATCACTCAAAAAATACTCAAGTAAATCTAACAAAACATGTATAGGACTTGTATGCTGAAAACTACAAACATGGATGAAAGTAATCAAAGATCTAAATAAATGGAGACATATACAGTGTTCATGAACTGGAAGACTAAATATAATAAAAAAACCAATTCTCCCCAAAATACAGGCTTAATGCAATTCCCATCAAAATCCCAGCAAGATTTTTTATAGATATAGACAAGATTGTTCTAAAATTTACATGGAAAGACAAAAGAACTTGTATAGCTAAAACAATTTTTAAAAAGAAGTGAGAGGAATCCTCTATCCAATTTTAAGACTAAGTATATAGCAGCAGTAGTCAAGACTGTATGGTATTAGCAGTATGATAGATCAAAGGAACAGAACAGAGAACTCAGAAATAAACCCACACACAGTCAACTGATTTTTGATAAGAAGCAAAAGCAATACAAAGAAGGATAGACTTTTCAATAAATGGTGGCACAGCAAGTGAACATTCACAGGCAAAAATATGAACCTTGACCTAAGGCTCATCTCTTTTATAAAAACAAACTCAAACAAATGTAAATGGATGTAAATGTAAAATATTCAGGAAAAAGCATATTTTTGGAACCCAGGAGGGGTTTATGGATTGAGAATCCATAAAGAGAAAAATGGGTAAGCTTGACTTCGTCAAAATCTAAAACTTTTCTCTGAGAAAAACCCTGTTAAGAGAATGGAAAGACAAGCTACACATAGAAGAAAATCCTTGCAAGCTACATACTCAAGAAGGCCTAGTATCTAGAATATACAAAGAACTCTTCAGACACTAAAAAAGCAAATATTCCAACTTGAAAATAGGCAAAAGACATATAGAGACATTTCATCTGAGAGGATATACAGATGGCAAATAAGCACACGGGAAGACGTTTAACATTTTAGCTATCAGGGAAATGCAGAGTATACTAAAGTCACAGCAGAGTATCTATTAGAATGGCTAAAACAAACAACAGGGTCAGTACCAAGTATTAATGAGGATGCTAAGCAATTGGATCACTCATACACTGCAGGTGGGACTGTAAATGATACAGCCACTGCTGTGGACTGAACTGTCCCCCAAAACTCTTATGTTGAAATCCCAATGTCTATACTTCAGAATGTAACTTTTTTTTCTTTTGAGATTAAGGTCTTTAAAGCAGTGATTTTGTTAAAATGCGGGTGAGGTCCCTATGACTAGTGTCCTTATAAAAGGAGGAAGAAACACCAGGGATATGAGCACACAAAGGAAAGGCCATGTGAGGGCACAGCCCAGAAGATAGCCATTTGCAAGGAAAGACACAGGAGAAACCATGTGCTAACACCTTGATCTTGGACTTCTAGCCTCCAGAACTGTGAGAAAATTAATTTCCGTTGTTAAAGGCATCCAATCTGTAGTATTTTGTTATGGAAGACCTAACAAACTAATAACAGCCACTTTGGAAAACAGTTTGGCAACTGCTTAAAATAATTAAATATGCAACTACCATGTGACCCAGCAACTGTACTAATGGGCATTTATTCCAGGGAAATGAAAACTTATGCTCACACAAAAACCTGTACACAAATATTTATATAGTAGCCCCATGTGTGACAGCCAAAAAGTGGAAACAATCCAGGTGTTCTATAATGGGCAAATAGTTATATCAAACCACTGAAAATCACTTTGCAATGAAAGAGGATCAATTACTGATCGATGCAACAACCTGAATGAGTCTCCAAAGAATTTTGCTGAGTGGAAAAAGGCAACCCATAAAGGTTCATTCCATATGATTCCATTTATATAACACTACTGAAATGACAAAATTATAGAAATGCAGAATTTTGTAGGAATTGAGGGGTAAGAGAGGGAGGGAAGTGAGTATGACTATAAAAGAACAACATGAGGGACTCGTGGTGATAGAAATGTTTTGTATCTACTGATGTCAATATTCTGGTTATGATATTGTACTATAATTCTGTCAGATGTTATCACTGGGATAAACAGGGTAAAGAGTATACCTCTGTGTTATTTTTTACAACCACATGTGACTCAACAATTACCTCAAAATAAAATGTTTAACAAAACAAGCAGAAAAAAAGCACACCCAGTTTTTAGAAAAGCCCATTGCAGGTACAGGTGAACTCTGCTTATGAAAGGAAGAGGCTCTAAATTTGGACCCCGTATCAAAACATCTCAATCCACTTACCTGTTTCACTTTGATTGCTGAGTGGTGAGGACTTCGGCTTCTCTTACTCCGAGGAGACTTGCTTCTTCTCCCTGAGGACTTGATTTTCTTTTTGGCTGGGGACCTTTTCAGAGCATGGTACACATAGGATTTTATCTCAATTTCCCTTCCCCCATATAAATTAGCTTCAAATATTAGCTTACCTGCTAACACAAACACCACAGTTGTGAAGGTCTCTGCTTTTCATTCTAAAGGAATTAGGAGCTTCACTCTCCTAGCCCTGCCATCTCCCTCAAGTTCCAGACCCACATACACAACTGCTTACTGGGCCTTCTCACTTAGGTAACACAACTCTTGACTCCCAACCCTTTGAAAACCTTTTCTTTCTCAGTCTTCCTATCTTAGTAACTGGCACCACCATCCACATTGTTCCTCAAGCCAAAAACCTAAAAGTCACCCTTGATTCCTTTTTCCTTACCACATTCCTCCCCTCACAGTCACACTCAATCTGCCAGCAAGTCCTCCAGCTCTATTTTCTCCCTCTACCTCTTCATTCCTACCACTCTCCGTGATGACTACACTAGATTTTTTCCCCCTCTATTTCTAGAACAGTCACAGTTAATCCCACTTCAGGTTCTTTGCAGGTGTTTTTCTGACTGGATCTCTACAAGGCTGGATTATTCCTATCCTTCAGGTCTTAGCTCAAATGGCACTTTTTCGGAGAGGCTTCTCCCACTTCCTTTCGATCTCTATCACATTATTGTTACTCACTGAAGCTACTTATTTGTTACTTTGTCTCTGAGCAAGACCATGTCAATTTCCTGAGGGTAAAGACCATCTATCTCGTCCACCCTTGAGGCCCCAGTACCTACAGTAGTCTTTAGTACATAATAGGTACTCAGCAAAACTATGTTGCATGAAAAAATGAACCAGTCTAGCAAGATCCAATTTTTCTTTCTAGAATTTCTATCAGGTGGAAAGCCGCAGGCCCTTAATGTGGAAACTTTAGGGGACAGATACTTGGCAAGACAATGCCTGCACTTCATTTGCAGGCAGATAGGAAAATCTTCAAACTTAAACTTAAACCATCACTGCTAACCGTCGGGCCAGACTAGGCGCAGTGCTAGGGGCACACAGAGATGAAGCGTGGGGTCGGGGAGAGGGAATCCCTTAGGCATTAGGCGCTTAACGCCCAGCAATAACGCAAGTGACAGGTACCAAAGTAAAGAGTCTTTAACATAAGCACGACCCGGGCATTTCCACCGTTTTAGGATTAAGTCCAAGCTACTATACTCAGCATTCAAGATGTGTTTCTGACGCTAGCCCTGTCCTCCTTTCTCAATGAACCCAACCCAAGGTCTATCCCGGGATACTTCTCACTTACCGGCTACCTCCTCGGGCACGATTCCCGCGGTGACCAGGGCGGCCCGGCTCGCTGGCCGGCGGGGACGGGCTACCGCCGGAGGAGTCCGGGCGGCGGTGGGGAGGAGGGGCGGCTTCCGGGCTGAGGCGCTCCTGCTTCACCACTACCGCCGCCGCCGCCACCATGTCACCGTCGCGGTGCCTTCGCCTGCTCCCCCGCTCCCGCTCGCTCTTCACCTCCTTCATGCTAAGATATCTGCTGAGTGAAGGAAAGAGAGGTCGGTTGCTCTCCCGCTAAAGGAAATGACGGGCTTGACCTCTGGACTTCCGCTTCCCAGAAACACTTGCGGCGTAGAGGCTAAACACGTGACCGGTAATCCGTAGAAGGCGGGACTGTAGTACCTCGGCTCGGCTGGCGGGAGTTTTAATTTCAAAAACAAACTTCTGGAAAAAAGTGCCTCTGAAGACTGTGGCCACGGTATTAGTAATTACTAAACACGGAGGCAACCTATATGACCGGCGTAGGAACCTGTTTAGCCAATTGACGGATGTTATTTCGCCATTCGCAAATGCATATGACAAATGGAAAACACTCTGACTTGTTAAACAAGAGAAGCAGGACATAAAATTGTGCGCAAACTATGATTACATTTACGTTTGGAAAAACGAAGGAAAGAAGAGGAGGAAATACAAACACAGATTGTAGCCCCTGGACAAATCATTATTTTTCCCCTATTCTTGAACTTTCTGTTGTCAATTCTCCATTTAATTAAAATTAAATATTTTTTAAAACCTGGGAACTCCAGATGCTTTCCTCTGGAAATCCCCGACCCTTCACTGAAGAGTCAGCTTTTTGCAGGCGACAAAATAGTCAGGGAAAGTGATCTGCCACCTCACGAAAATTGCGAGCCAGAAGCAGCGCAGGGACTCGAACCCGTTTTCCCTGCTTGTAAGGGTACCAGGGCGACCCGGTGAGCAGGAGGCTTGACGAGCAAAGAAGGAGCATTTCCTTGAAGGCTGCGCGGAAAGAAACGCGCGCGCTGGTGGCCCCGCCCCACTCCGAAGCCCCGCCCAGGCGTTGAGGCTGGGAGAGGAGGTTTCCATGGTGACGACAAACAAGGCCCAGAGTGGAGGGGCAGCTCCTGGGCTACCACTCCCGCCACTGCCATGATCCCCCCAACGGACTCTCTGTTAAAGTACGATACCCCGGTGTTGGTGAGCCGGAACACTGAGAAGCGAAGCCCCAAAGTAAGGATGGGTCTTGGGGGGGCAGGGGAGCCCGGAAACTTCAGTGGAGAAGCAGATGTCCTCGTTGAGGACCAGGAATCCTTGAGGGAAGAGGCTGCTGCGACTGGGAGCAGAGGAAATTGGGTCCGGAAGGAGGGTGGGAGAGTGGTACTAAAAGCCCAGATTTGGGATGACCCAACAGGGCAGATTTAGGATGAGGAAAGAAGTCACAGGGAAATGGATGGGGCTCTTTTAATTTGTAGCCAATTCCCAGAACAGATCTGGTAGTGACTGCCCCATCACTAGAGATGTGAAAGCAGAGGCCTGAGCATGCCAGCCAGAAACATCAGTAGGAGTGATACAAGCATTGGGTTGGAGTGAATCAGAGACTCTTCATGGCTTCCTTCAGCTCTGAGACATAACTTCTGCTGAGAAGACAGATGCGGAAATTGAGCTGGGGACAGGAGAGGGGTGTGTAGGAGGCCTAGAGCAAGCTAGAGGGCCAGGAGATGTGTAGCTGAGTGCCTGAATCACCTTCTGCTCTAACTTGTCCCTTCTCAGGCTCGACCACTGAAAGTCAGCCCCCAGCAGCCTGGACCCTCAGGTCCAGTTCCACAGCCACCAAAGACCAAGCTCCCCACAACTTCCTGTGTCCCAGATTCTACAAAGCAGGCAGAAGAAATCTTGAATGCTATCCTGCCCCCAAGGTAAAAAATATACTAGGAGCAGTGGTTGGAAGAAGGCTCAAGCTCTTGCATTCCAGAACCTGAAAATGTAATAGGTATCTGTCTCTCTTTTTGTCTGGGATTTTCTCCCAGCATCTCAGAGCTCTTAGAGCTTGCAAGTGACTGGGTCCTGTAATTGTGGAGGGAGACCTCTTCTCTACCTTCACTTCCTGAGTGCTCTCATCCAGGCTCATGGCTTTAAATATCATCTGTATGCTGACGGCTCCCGAAAGTGTGTTTTCAGCCTTGTCTTCTCTCCAGACTCATATATTCTACTACTTATTCATTATATTAATGAAGATGTCTAATAGACATCTCAAACTCAACATGTCTGAACGAAATCACAGTTTCTTCCTCTCCCAACCTGCTCATCGCCAGTCTTCTCCCTTCCATTAGGAGATCAGCCCACCTCTTGTTTCTGTTGGTCTCTCACATCACATGTCCTATCCTTCATCAAATTCTTTTGGTTCCACCCTCAAATTTGTATCACAAATCCAACCACTTTTCACCACTTCTGCCTCCACCTTTTTGTTCGTAGTCACTGTTTGTCACCTGCAGTGGCCTCTTCTCTGAAAACCTTGCTCTCACTCTTTGCCCCTAGAGTCTGAGTTCCCCACTCAGCCCCAAAATCATAAGTCAGCTCAGCTCACTTCTGCCAGAAACTCTTTAACGGCTTCCCATCTCACTAAGACTACAATCCAAAGTCCTTATGATGACCTGGAAGACCGGCATGACCTGGCCCCTGATATACCAACGATCTTCTCTCCTATTATTCTCCCTGTTCATCGTGCCCATGCCACAGGACTACTTCTTGCTCTGAAACACTTCAATCACTCTTCCACCTCAGGGCCTTGACAATGCTGTTCTCACCACAAGGATACCCATCCACTGATGTCTGTCTACCTGGGTTCCTTCCTTTCTTTATTCAGGTCCTGTTCAAATGTCATTTCCTCAAGAAGGCCTTTCTTGGGAATTCTTCTAAACAAGCACTTTCTCCCTTCTTCATAATCCTCTTGCCCTGCTTCTTTCTTCTGCATCCACCTTAGTTACTATCTATTCATGACTGTTTTACTATAATAAGTTGACATCAAAGTTTTTAAGGCTATGATGAAAAAAGAGACGAGACAGCAACCTCCTCTGAGATGGAAGCCAAAGAAGCACAGGGGGTGGGGGGTGGTTTTTCAGTTGATTCCCTGCCACCGATGCATGAAAGTCCTCTCTCCCATGCTGATTCTGCCCTCAGGCTTCTTCCTCCTAATTCCAGAACCTGGCCATGGCTCTGACACAAGGTTTACTATGGGAGCCTATATAGGCACAAACCTTCAAGAACCTCCCCAGTCCCCAATGCACACATTCACCTCTTTCTGGCTGGCACATGGTTTATGGTGCCCTGTGTCTCCCACCCCACAAGTCAGTGGGGAATTCCCACTGGGCCTTCTGTTAAGATTGAGCAACAATGACATAAACCTGCATAACAGAAGGGTAAGATCTGGAACATGGGTGATTTCACAGACAGCTATGGGAGAGTGGAGATTGCACAGCCCCAAGGTAGGGGCCCTGTGCGAGTGGCTTATTGGGTGTGGCTTTGGCACAGCTCTCCCAGGAAGAGAGCATGATGGAGGAGTCTGGCGGGCTGTGAGAGAGCTGCCCCTCACTCCTGCTCAGGCAGTGAGTTCAAAGGGCCATCTCTAATGTCCTGACAATCCTCTCTGCTTAATGAGTGTCACTCAGCTTGGCTGTGTCTATGCCACAGGGAGTGGGTGGAAGACACGCAGCTATGGATCCAGCAGGTGTCCAGCACCCCCAGCACTAGGATGGACGTGGTGCACCTCCAAGAGCAGCTGGACTTAAAGCTACAGCAGCGACAGGCCAGGGAGACAGGCATCTGCCCTGTCCGCAGGGAGCTGTACTCACAGTGTTTTGGTGAGGGGTCTGGGGTGGGTGGGATACACTACAATCTACTGCCTCCTGCCCTTCCCCCTTAGCACAGACCTTAGCCCTGAGTATCCCCAGGCTGAAGCCCACCCCATTCTGGAATTAGAAACTCGTCTCCCCACCTACCCCACCAGAAACTGCCAAATGCACTCTCTTCTCCCTCTCAGTCGTTCTCCTCCCAGGCCCCCCATTTTCTGTTCAACCTGACAATCTGGTTCCTCACCTCTTAGCAGATGGAGTAAGATGAGCACTTCCTTTTTAAATCTTTGTTTTTTCAAAGATTTCTGTAATAAGCATGTGTTACTTTTAAATCAGAAAAAATTAATGTTCCGTATTTATAGCCATCCATCAACATTTGGCCCTTGGTCCAGAAAATTATTTCAAAGTAATTTGTTGTCGACCAACAGACACAAAGGACTTAACCTCTCTCTCCTCGAGTGCTGGTGTCAAGTGGCTGTCCTCCAGCCCAATCTCCTGTGTGGACCCTCACTTGCAAACTGCCTCCACATCCTGAGGCAGCTGCTAGCTGACTCCCTCAGTCTGAGGATGGTTATAGTTTGCTCTTCAGGTCAGCATTTATGGAGAAAACGGGCAAGCTCTAGAACCTGCTATTTGCAACCACCACTTCAAATTGAAAAGTCAGATTTCTTTGGAAAGTACTCAGTGTTTGCCTGATGATGGAAGAGAGGGGCCTCCTAGCTGCAAACAACGTGGGTCTCCGGGCTCCCTCTGCTCTGGGCTTGCCGACTGCCTGAACTCCCTAGTGGCAAGTTCAGAGTAGTGGCTGCATGGCAAGCCTCCTGGGGCCACTGAGGGCCCCTCCCTGAGACTGGCCTCCAATTGAGGACATGCCCTGGTACCCTTCCCAGTAGGAAGGATGGTTTGCAGTAGACATGGTGCACTTCCCCTCCCACCTGCCTTCTCTGACCTTGCTGTGTGTGTGCCTGGAAGATGAGCTGATCCGTGAGGTCACCATCAACTGTGCAGAGAGGGGGCTGCTTCTGCTGCGAGTCCGGGACGAGATCCGCATGACCATCGCTGCCTACCAGACCTTGTATGAGAGCAGCGTGGCGTTTGGCATGAGGAAGGCGCTGCAGGCCGAACAGGGGAAGTCAGACATGGAGAGGAAAGTGAGTGGGGTTTACCACGAGCCATTGGCCCTCTCTGACTCGTCACTCTCAGGGCCACATGGTTGCCCCTCCATCCCTAAGTCCTGGCTTCCTGAGATGCTCTCCCATCTTTTGTGGGGACCCTTTGGTTCAGTGGCATGGCCAGCCTGGTCAGGGCAGTTGTCTGCTCTTTGATGTGCCATGCCAGATGCTGACCTCCCACTGGGTGGCAGTACAAACCCTGCAATGTCTTGGGTTGGACAGCTGTCCCTGTCCCTTCTACCCAGGCATTCACACCATCCTGTCCACCTAGTGCATCCCAGGATGACTGGAGGTTCTGTCCTTAGATTGCAGAATTAGAAACGGAAAAGAGAGATTTGGAGAGGCAAGTGAATGAGCAGAAGGCGAAATGCGAGGCCACCGAGAAGCGGGAGAGTGAGAGGAGACAGGTGGAGGAGAAGAAGCACAGCGAGGAAATTCAGTTCCTAAAGCGGACCAATCAGCAGCTGAAGGTGACCCACATGCAGGCCCAGGAGGAGGCACCGCCCCCGCCCCAGTCCCCTGCCACGCAGTCCCAGCGCTTGGCTCCTTTTCCCACCTTAAACACTTGTCCACGGGTGCTGTCATGGAGTAAAGGAAGCTGACTTTTGGGGGTGTAGGGGTTCATCACCCAGATCTCCATCCATCCGGCTCTGGACAGGGTCTCTCTTAGCTCTGAATCCCCATGACACCTCAGCCTGGCTCCCCAGTGGGTTTTTTTGCCTTGGAAAAAAGTTGCCCATCCTGGAAGGTGCTTACAGCTAAAAGGGGAACTTTCCCATCATAGCTGCTATTTGGGGGCATTCCTAGAATGTGCAAAATCTCAGCAGGCTTTCACTGAGTGCTTTCCCACCTGAAGCCCCCTCTGAGGCACTTGATTTGGGGAGGTCAGGGGAGTCCTTTGAGAGAGAACCATTTCGAAGGTGTGTGGTTAGAGGAACTCAGCTGTGGGTGTTTTTTCTCAAAGCCCTTTTGCTGGTGGTATACTTTTATCCAGCTGAGCTGATGGGAGGGAGGCTCTCTGGTCCAAGGGTTCTGAAAGGTGGAGGCCCAGACCATCATCATCCTCATGGCCTGGGCCCACCCCAGAGCTACTGAAGCAAAAACTGTGGGGTTGGGGTCCAGCAGTCTGGTCTACCAAGGTCTCCAGGTGATTCTGGTGCTTGCGAAAGTCTGAGAACCCTGTTCTAGATACCTGGTCTATCGACATTTGGCGACTGTCTCCCATGGCCCTGGCCAGAAGGGGCCTCAGGATATATCTCCCTCACCTCCCTGGTCTCATAGAAAGCTTACAACTTGGCACTACAAACCAAGGCCAGGCATCTGACATAAAGAAGGGCTTGTATTAATTGCTAGTGGAGGATGACATAGATTTTCTTGTTGCTGAGTTTAAGAAATACAAAGAAAAACTAGAAACTTCACAGCCAGATGTCAGTCTGTTTACCTAGCAGCCTCTGAAACTGTGTCCCTTATCTGCCATAATCCTTTATCATACACCTGAGTTCCTCAGTTCCTGCTATATATTGGCAGCAAGAGCCAAGCAGAATACCTTGGCATCTTTCTAATATATACAAGCAACCTTGTATCCCCAGGATGAAGGACTCTTTAGAAGTGAGTTATTTTTATTGGCTCAAAGCTGCACTGCAAATAAAGCAGTGCTTGCAGTCCCCAGGATAAACCTAAAGATCTGTCCACACACCATGATAGTAAATTATTGTACTTGCTGCCAGAGGAGCAGAGTAAATAACTCCTCTAAGCGTCTTGAGCTTTACATACAAGATATACAGCTCCCTACTCACTGGTAGCAATTTTCTCTAATTGGGTGTCAAGTTGTCTCAGTGGCTAAATAATTGTTTCCCAGACCTCTCATCCCAGCACAGCTCCCAGGATCCCAAACCAGAGAGCCAAATGTTTAACTTAGTATTTCAGGCCTGAAATCTGAGCCATGAAAAACCACTATTTCAACAACTTTTATTCAATTTCCTTTTCGCTGCTTTATATTATATGCTGAGCTGCTATTGTATGGAAACCAGGACAGCTCTGGTTTCTCCTAATGTAGCAAGACTGTATGCCAAGCCAGAAACCAACTAATCCAGAAAATATGGAGTTGGGAATGAAGGAAAAAAACCATTTGGAGTGGCAGCATTTGGATTCTTCTTCCCAGAGGCTTTTATCACCTCTCAGCTATTTGTGTTAGGCTACAAGTTTCAAATACTAATGGAGTTTGTTTTTGTTTTTCAGGCCCAACTGGAAGGCATTATTGCACCAAAGAAGTGATAATTTCCATATGGGTCTCAGCAAGCACCACAAACCCATCTTAAGCCCTTTATAATAAAAGCTAGTTTCCTGAGTGAAAAAGGCATACCCTCCCCTGATCACCACCTATATGTATTTGTCAGAAGTCACACCATTGCCCCAGTGTCACAAAACACCTAAGGTCTGGCAGCCAGTCTCCTGGTTGGGCATAAGATGGTATAGCCCAGTATGTGGCCAAACTTGGTATTTGCCAACTCAAATAGTTAAGACAGAATTCACCTCTTCCTGCTGTCTCGAGTGAACTGCTTTCCCATCACTTATTTCTGGACAAATGAAGCTGCTTCTGTTCCTATTTCTGGTCCACAATTCATCTTGTACCTTAACTTGGGCTTCTCTGGCCTCATTTTTTCCCTTATTTGATGTCCTCTCATCCCCACTCCAATGTAGTTCTAGTAACTCATTGAGAATTTTGTGTTTGTACTGTATTATCTTACCCTGCCTGCCAAGTCAAACGGACCCCTTGCTCCTTACTTCCATACTTTCTGGGTGAGGCAACAGTAAAGTCAAACCCCTGGCTTTGAGAAAATAAAGGTTTGCTGCAAAACCAAGTCACAGCACCCACTGTGAGTTGTTTGTACCTCAGCTCCTCCCCTGCCCGACCTCTTCACCTTGTTCTGTAGGAAACCATAACCTGACCCAACACACCTCTTCAGTTTAATGAACTGGAGAGGTGCTCAAACTCACATGCACTTCTAATTATAAATGATCAGGGTACGGCCTGTACATAAATGCATTTTACTGTTTCCTCTTAAACTCAAGTTTGGAGGCTCAGGACTCCTGATTTTGTAGACCCAGAAGACTCCATTAACAACATAAACCTTTAATTCAGGGCAGACCAGGTGGGCTTGGGTGGCAAGCTGAGTGACTGCCATTACTCAAAACTGGTAAGAAACACCCTGAGAAGGCACTAGCATCTCCACTTGGAACGCCTCAAGTGCTCAGCGGTCCCGAATGCCCAAGAGGGACTCTCCTTCGTGGAGCTGCGGCCTGATAGCCATCCTGGTCAGGGCTTCCAGGCTCCCTGGAAGAACTGCAGTCCGACAAGAGCTGTGGCCCACCAAGTTGAAAGTGCCCCATGTACTCTAATCTCAGATTTGAAGTCACAGCTTTAACCCGGATCCAGGTGTCCTGAGGGACCCTAAGACCCCACTAAGATGACCTGTCTGTGCTGTCATTTTGGGGGGAAAGAACTCTTCACGGATATGAGCTACTTCCGTGACTCCTTGGCAGTAAAGCACTTGGGCTGACTTGGGTGCTTCTGACAGGGATAGCAAGGGACAACACAGATTGCTGTAACTTTTCCTTTGTATTTTTAAAGCCTAGACCATGTACACTACATTCTTAGAATTTTCTTCTTATAGTTTTATTCCAAATAGCTTCTGTTCCAAACTGCTAGTAGATAGTACAAAAGAAACACACTTTCCATTTTATAGACATCATCCTTGCCCGTCAGACATTTACACCGGGGGACCGCCCTCTGGTGGACTGCTTCAGGTCTCAGAAGTGCCAGTGGACTCCTTGGCTGAAATCCTAGAGGGTGAAGAGGCTTGCTTTATTTTCACTAGCACTGGTGAAGGGTTTCAACTGTCAAACCTCAGAACAAACGCATTACAGCCTCAGAAATGCCAGCCGCGCATGGAGAAAATGAACACAGTTGCTAATTGCATATTTTTGTATTAATTTAATAAACAACTTTTTAAATGTTACTGCTTATGTTTGAACCTCCTGTGTTTGTGTCTCTGTCCCTCTGAGTCACTGGTCTTCTTTTTGTTCCTGTTCCTGTTTTTCACATTGTGTGTTTCATAGTAGCGAACGCCAACTTTTCTGGATTGTTGCTGCCGGGCTACTCGTCTCCGCTGTGAAGACAGGGGAACCCATCAAATATTGAAAGTCATAAAACAGGCCACATGCTGCTTCCACAACCACTGGAAAAAGGGCTAACAGTGAGGATCCACCTCACAGACCAAGTTTGCTCCTCTTCCACTGTAATTTCTAACAACTCTCATCCAATACATGAATCTTTTCTACTGTACTCCTGACAAGTAGTCCTCTGGACTAAGGCTGAACACTTCTGATCAGAGGCTCTTCATTTCCCAAGGGGGCCCACTGCCCCTCTGAAGAGCCCGTCACAAAGTTGAACTTCACAGACGGCAGTGATCCCTCTGCCCAAATAGCTCTGCTCATCATGTGTTATTTCCTGGAGGCCACATAAAACCAACAGACTTTTCTAGATGACCTAGTCCATGTAGTTTGAGGACAGCAATCAGGAACACCTAAAACATATGGCACAAACTCAAGGACCTTCACCCAGCAGCTCTTGGTGCTATTTGACCTCAACTATGTCACTTAGGACTGGAGTTCCTTAAATTCAACTCTCGATCATTCATTTTGGAGAGTGGTCTTAAGAAATGGATTTCTCCTTCTACTCTATACCTGGGTGATTTGTAAGACCCAAACACATACTTCCTTAGATGTAGGCATCCTGCGAGTCTTACTCGAATGCTCCTCTTCCTTCTGTGCCTTCCTCTTCTTTCCCCTTTTGGCAGGTGCTGGGAACAACAAACACACACACACACACAGGAGAGAAACAGGAATTCACTATTCAAAATGTGTCTGTAAATCCTAAATTGGGAATGAGCTTGATGTGTTGGAGGAAGGAAGAAAGCCTGTATGAATGGAGTGTGGTGAGCAAAGCAGACTAAACCCGGATAAGGATGGGAAGGTGCCCGATCAGGAAGGACCTTGCAGCCATAGCAAGGTTTGCACTAGTGTCATGAGAACATTCTTGACATAGAGCCTGTCAGTCAAATGGAGTAAAGTCCAAAATACATGAACCACCCCAGTATACTCTTCTTAGAGGACGTTCCCTGAATTACCAATTTTATCCCAAGAAATGTGCAGAATGAAAGCAGTTTGTGTGACAAACAGCATGCAGAACCAGGGCAATCTGCCAGATAGGTATCTGTGTGCTGATGGTATGAGATAATTTGGAGATTAAACTTAGATTTCTCAAAGTTCTAAAGATGCAAATCACATTTAAATGATTTAAATAACTTTACCTCTATCTTCTACATCTTCTTCAGCTGTTCGTTCTTCAGATTTTGTAAAAATCTTTTCACTTAGTCCCTTGGATATTCTGAAGCAGGAAAGCAATGAAGCTGGTTAACACTTCCCCCAACTGCCCCAATCACATGCTGACTTGGAGACTGTGACTACCTCACATAGCAAAGAAGCCCCACTCTTCTCCATGTGGTCACCACCATTGGTAGAAGGCAAAACCTGAGTTTCTGCAGCTCCCTGGACTTTTTTAAAGACTGAACAACTAAGCCTCTTGTAGTTCAGGAAACTGAATTTTTAAATGCACAGGTCACTTTTTAAAATGGCAATACCGACCCCATAAAAATACTGCTGCAATACTCCTAAGCTTCTGGGAAAGGAATGAGCTACGTGTAATTCCTGGGAAGGTGAGACAACTACCTGACTGCTGAAAACTTTTTAGCTTTGGCTTTGTTTAAAAACTTCTGGTATTTTGCAATCTTTTCATCGAGGGCTTTAATAACTGCTTTGGTGTCGTTTCCTGCGTGTTCTTCCTGGAACTCTGAGTTAGATTCCTCCTCCTCATCTCCTTGTGGCTCGGGTTCCTCCTGCTCCTCTGCAGAAAAGCTCTCAAGCTCCTCATCGATATCTGACATCTCCAAGGGAACCAGGTCATCCCCAGAAAACTGAGGCGCCACATTGATTTTGCCAAAGTTCTGTCGAACCCGTGCAAGAATCTGCTGCATTTCTGAGTTGGCGTCACAGTGGCCGTTCTCTTCTTTTCCCTTCTCAAAGACAGGTTCTAACTTTTCACCTACAGTTCCTGTGATTTCCTCTTCTGAGCTGTTCTGGGTTGTTTCTGTGGCAACTTCCAAAGATGCAGAGGATGGAAACTATTCAGGTGGAAGAGGGTAGAGGAGGGGGAGAGAAATGGAATCACAAAGTAAAAAAACTGCATTTCTGATCTTACACCTTGCTCTCAAATGAGGTATTCGTCTCCTCAGGACCAAGTGAAAGCACTGAAAACAGCCACATTTGAGTCATATCATTAATCTGCTGTAACCCAGAGCACATTAAATCCAGAATCCTGATTCAAGGATCAAAGGAAATCCTATCTGCAGTTCCAAAGGATGAGACAATTGTAAGAGCCACTAACCACTAAAATCAATCAGCTATTAGCTGTAGACAGGTGAGACTCCCTGCGCCTCCCTGAGGGTCCTAAGGAATGGGGGTTGTTGGGACGAGCGCCCATCGGCACACACAGTCACTAAGAACGAAAGGCAAGCCGCACAGTGGGGAGGACGGTGCTCCGGTCAGTACAGGCGAGCACTAAGGGGAGGCCCTGGGAGGCACCCTGAGCGGAAGGCGCAACAGAAGAGGGCAGGGACCTCGGGAGGACTGGGAAGGGGCAGAGTTCAGGAGCGCTGAAATGACATCACAGGGCGGAGAGAAGCACGCCAGGCTTTCTGCTGGTGCTTCTCCTATGTAGCATCATCTTTGCAACTGAAACTGACAACTTAAGTGCTTCTACAAAGGCGTGAGTGGCTACGCAAAGAGCTAAATACATCAGGAATCCACAAAATTCAGGAAGTTCTATGCAAAATTTTTATGTACATTTTTATACATTCTTCTTTTAAGGTAATTTTTTTTAGCTTTTGGACTCTCAAAGGGGTTTCTGGCACCACAAAAAGAGAAAAAGAAGGCACGAATCACAGAGTGAGGAGAACTAATTTATCTAAAAGTGACTCAATAAAGGGGAAGAGTTAAAAGTAACTCCAACATTTCTACACAGGGTTACAGAGAGCTGCAATGGGCTTCCTGAGAGCCAGATGTTCACTAGATTAAAACCCTCCAGCACTTCCCACAATCACCCTCCCCTTGCCCACCGTATTGCAGCCCTATGCCCTCTTTGCAGAACTATGAACACACTGAGCACACTCCCACCTGGGGACCTCTGGGTGAGCTGCCCTCTCTGCCTGGATGTTCTCTGCAGACATTCATAGGCTCCTGCCTCATACCCTTAAGGTCTTGGCTAAAATGCCACTTCCTTGGAGGCCACCCCTGACCACCCAACATATAAAAGCACTCCTCTGCTACCCACAAATCCCTACCCTGGTTTGGTTTTCCTCACAGTAACCAGTATGTCCTGATATTATATATTTATCTGTTTACTATCCTTCCCTGTAGTATAATAAAAATATGTATTTGGTCTTTGACCCTAGTTCCTGGCACAAGACTCCTAAAACCCTCTGAAACCCTAAGTAAAGATAGGGGTGTCTTTTGTTATTCCTAACAAGCCCCTTTCTGCCACACCAGAGTTTACGTTAATGAGATGGCTCATGGTGGGGTCTACCTTCAGAATAGGGCTGGGCACCAGAAAGCCCAAACACTTGCTTAGAGATCCAAGCGCCAACAGACAATGATTTAATTAACCATGCCTATGCAATGAATTTCCATAAAAACCCCTAAAGGATGGGGGCTCGGGAGCTTCTGTGTTGAACACACTGATGTGTCGGGAGGGTAGCATGCCTGGAGAAAGCATAGAAACTCCATGCTACCTCCACCCTATTCCTTGCCCTATGCCGTCTCTTCCATTTGGCTGTTCCTGAGTTGTATCCTTTATGATTAACCAGTAATCATAAGCAAAGCACTTTTCTGAGTTCTGTGAGTTGTTTTAACAATTATCAAACCTGGGAACCACTGAATTTGTAGCTGGCAGGGCAGAAGTGTGGGTGGCCTGGGAACCCCATCTGCAGCCAGCATCTGAAAAGAGGATAATCTTATGGGACTCAGCACTTAATTTAACCTATCCCACAGGAAGAAGAGGCTCCATAAAGGGAGAAAACCAAAAGCTAGCACTCCTAGGTCAGGACCTGCTTTCTCAGAGGTGGGTCCACCCTGCTCTTACCTGGGGGATTGCAGGGGGATCTGCATTGGGCGGCTTGACAAAGAAAGGAATCCGGCCCCTCTGCCAGTCATTGAGAACCATCTTACCCACAGTCTGCAAGTCAGGTTCTCCACCCTGAAATGGCACAGAATGATTCCCAATCAAATTCAAAGACCAAAACCACCTCCCAGTTTAGGGGCATTTCAGCTGTCCCATACAAAGTTTCCTACAAAGATGCTTACACAATGCTTACAAGAGAAGATCCATACCACATACACATGTGCAGCACGTCTCAGTCTAAATTCTCACCAGCCCTGGTTCACCTTTAACAACTTCCCAGTCCGGAAAGCTAGCTTCTCCAGGAAGTCCTCAGCATTCTCCCATGAATCAATCTTGTATGTCTTGCTGATATATTCTGGCTTTGCTCGTTCAAGTACAGCACTGATATGGTCTTCAGGAGTCTTAATTTTTTCAACTTGAACCTAGGTGTTAATAAGAAACCTCTTGTTTACAACTTTACTATGGAGGCAGTCAAGTTCCGTGTTCTCTGTAACAGTATGTGAGAAAAGATTTCAATGCCACAAAGCAAGTGGAGCCTGGCAGGAGCTTGTCTCTGGGGTGGCTATACATGGTTGGCTGAAAGGGGCACCACTGAAGGCTGACCATAGCCACAGAGCCAGAACTCAGCCCTAAATCCCTGTTCACCACAGACTGTGTGGCATCCGCAAGTAGTTTCAA